ATAAGAGGGGCCTTGAGACTTGACTAATGACTAGAGGAAATGTCATTTTAGTCCCAGGAATGTCTTTCTTGTTTATTCTGGACCCTATTCGGAAATTGGCATCTTTTGAAATTTGTGTGAAATTGGCAAAATTGCTAAATTCTGACCACTGTACTGGATAGTTGAATTTCATAAATGGGTGGTTTCTTGCACCCATTAGATAGAAAAAATGGAGTTCAAGCGAAATATTCATGTTTTTTGTCGACTAGTACAGTGAAATTGGCCGAAAATGGGGCTCAAAGTGGGCAAAATCGCCGATGCGTAAACATCGCCGAGACCGCTAACTTTGCGAGAGCATAATTCCGTAAGTTTTCTATCAAATTTCAAACTTTTGGTGTCTTTATGATCGGGAAAAGATTCTCTATCTTTTCATAAGAGAAAATAATTTTTTTTTTTTAAATTTGGCCGACCCAGAGAACGAGTTTCGGAGAGGGCCTGTCGACCCTCAAAGGGTTAATTGTGATGAAACAGGCCTGTTTTGGAAGAAAATGCCAAGCAGGACCTACATTACTCAGGAGGAAAAGGCACTCCCAGGACATAAGCCTATGAAAGACAGGCTTACTTTGTTGATGTGTTCCAATGCTACTGATGATTGCAAAGTGAAGCCTTTATTAGTGTATCACTCTGAAACTCCCAGACCGTTCAGGCAAAAGAATGTCCTCAAGGAGAATATGTGTGTGCTGTGGAGGGCAAACAGTAAGGCATGGGTCACTAGGGACTTTTTCTATGACTGGTTACACCATGCATTTGCCCCCAATGTGAAAGATTACCTAACTGAAAAGAAATTAGAACTTAGTGCCTCCTGGTGTTAGACAATGCCCCTGGTCATCCTACAGACGTGGCAGAGCGACTTTATGGGGACATGAAATTCATTAAGGTGAAGTTTTTGCCTCCTAATACCACTCCTCTCCTGCAGCCCATGGACCAGCAGGTTATTGCAAACTTCAAAAAACTGTACACAAATGCTCTGTTTGAAAGGTGCTTTGTAGTGACCTCAGAAACTCAACTGACTCTAAGAGAGTTTTGGAGAGAGCACTTTAATATCCTCAATTGTGTAAACCTTATAGGTAAGGCTTGGGAGGGAGTGACTAAGAAGACCTTGAACTCTGCTTGGAAGAAACTGTGGCCAGAATGTGTAGACAAAAGGGATTTTGAAGGGTTTGAGGGTAACCCTGAGAGGATTATGCCAGTTGAGGAATCCATTGTGGCATTGGGAAAGTCCTTGGGGTTGGAGGTTAGTGGGGAGGATGTGGAAGAGTTGGTGGAGGAGGACAATGAAGAACTAACCATTGATGAGCTGATAGATCAACTTCAACAGCAAGAGGCCAGACCTGAGGAAACTGGTTCAGAGGAGGGGAGAGAGAAATTGAAGAAGTTGCCTACTATAAAGATTAAGGAAATCTGTGCAAAGTGGCTTGAAGTGCAAACCTTCATGGATGAAAATCACCCTCACACAGCTATTGCAAGCCGTGTTGGCAACCTGTACACTGACAATGTTGTGAAACACTTTAGGGAAGTCATAAAGGAACGAGAGGTACAGGCCTCTATGGACAGATATGTTGTGCGAAAGAAGTCCAGTGACTCTGAAGCTGGTCCTAGTGGCATTAAAAGAAGAAGGGAAGTAACCCCAGAAAAGGACTCGACACCTCAAGTCTTAATGGAAGGGGATTCCCCTTCTAAACACTAACACTCTCTCTCCCCTCCTCCCATCCCATCAATCACCAGATCTTCAATAAAAGTAAGTGTCATGTAATTGTGCATGCCTTTTTCAGTTTGTGTGTATTAAAACTAACATTTCATGTGGTAAAATTTTTTTTTTTTCATACTTTTGGGTGTCTTGCACGGATTAATTTGATTTCCATTATTTCTTATGGGGAAAATTCATTCGCATACCGAACATTTCGCATAACAATCAGCCCTCTTGCACGGATTAAAGTCGCTATGCGGGGGTCCACTGTATTAGGGAAATTCCATGATATGTTAAAACTGAGTGATTTGTGATCACTTTCCCCAAGCTCATCATTAACCTCAGGATTATTAATTAGTGTTTCTCTGCTGGCAAGAACCAAGTCAAGCAGGTTATTTCCTCCAGTTGATTCTGTCACAAACTGTTTTAAAAAAACAATCCTGAATCGTATCAAGAAAGTCACCTGACTCTAAATTTCCTGTCAAATTGCTCCAGTCATTCTGTCTATACAGTGGACCCTCGACCAACGCTGGCATCGTCTAACATTAAATCCGACTAGCGATACATTTTAACGCAAAAATTTTCCCTCGACTAGCGCTAAAAAACTCGACCAACGAGATTCGTTCCGTCCAAGACGCGTCCACTTGTAGCCAGTGTTTACAAGCAAGCCAGCCACTGCGGTCCCATCCAAACATACAATCAGAACATTTCATATTATCACAGCGTTTTTAGTGATTGCACCTGCAAAATAAGTCACCATGGGCCCCAAGAAAGCTTCTAGTGCCAACCCTACAGCAAAAAGGGCGAGAAGTACTATGGATATGAAGAAAGAGATCATTGCTAAGTATGAAAGTGGAGTGCGAGTCTCCAAGCTGGCCAGGTTGTACACAAAACCCCACTCAACCATCGCTACTATTGTGGCCAAGAAAAGGGCAATCGTGGAAGCTGTTTTTGCCAAAGGTGCAACTATGTTTTCGAAACTGAGATCGCAAGTGATAGAAGATGTTGAGAGACTGTTATTGGTGTGGATAAACGAAAAACAGATAGCGAACATATGTGAAAAGGCTAGAAAGTTGCATGACGATTTAATTAGAAAAATGCCTGCAACTAGTGGTGATGTGAGTGAATTTAAGGCCAGCAAAGGTTGGTTTGAGAGATTTAAGAATCGTAGTGGCATACATAGTGTGATAAGGCATGGTGAGGCTGCCAGTTCAGACCAAAAAGCAGCTGAAAAATATGTGCATGAATTCAAGGAGTACATAGAGGCTGAAGGATTGAAACCTGAACAAGTGTTTAATTGTGACAAAACAGGCCTGTTTTGGAAGAAAATGCCAAGCAGGACCTACATTACTCAGGAGGAAAAGGCACTCCCAGGACATAAGCCTATGAAAGACAGGCTTACTCTGTTGATGTGTGCTAATGCTAGTGGTGATCGCAAAGTGAAGCCTTTATTGGTGCATCACTCTGAAACTCCCAGTGTGTTCAGGAAAAACAATGTCCTCAAGGACTTGACACCTCAAGTCCTAATGGAAGGGGATTCCCCTTCTAAACACTAACACCATCCACACTCTCCCCTCCTCCCATCCCATCAATCATCACCAGATCTTCATTAAAGGTAAGTGTCAATTATTCTATTGTTATTGTTGTTATTGTAATTATTCTATTGCATTAAACTTAATATTTCTTGTGATAAAATTTTTTTTTTATACTTTTGAGTGTCTTGCATGGATTAATTTGATTTCCATTATTTCTTATGGGGAAAATTAACTGGACTAACGATAATTTTGACTAACGATGAGCCCTCAGGAACGGATTAATATCGTTGGTCAAGGGTTCACTGTAGTTGAAATCTCCTGTTAGTACAACATTTTTGTATGTTGATGCCTTATGAATTTCGTCCCATAGAAGTTTACTGTACTCCCTATCAAGATTTGGGGCCCTGTAAATCACACTCAAAATTAGTTTTTCACAGCCCTTGAGAAGCTGTAACCAAACAGATTCAGTAGGGTAGTAGGGACTCACAGGTGGTGGGACACTTAAATATGATTTGGCGGCTGAGAATTTGGCGGTTGGGAATTCGCGAATGTGTGAAGCCCGCGAAAGTTGAAAATGCAAATGTTGAGGGAGACCTGTACAGTACACTACTGTATGAACATTTAAAAATATACCAGAAATGTTATAATAGTTGCAAAGGTGACATTAAAACAAAATCAAAGATGGCCGACACAAACCCTCTACCATTATAGTATACTCCTCACTTAGCGATGAATTCATTTACCGATGTGGTCTTAGGAACAGAAGTGCGTCGTTAAGTGAGGAGAGGCTGAACATCAAGACAATGAACAACAATTACATATTCACTTTTATTTTTGTAAGATTTGGAGGTCTAAAAAAATGATGTTTGACTTTTTTGGGGCTCCCAGGAACGTAACCCTATTTTTCCTAAAAGTTCTTTAATTATCTAACACAAATATATCTAACAAGACATTTTCAGGAACGTAACTACCGTATAATATAAGGGTCTACTGTACCTATTACCAAGCATCTAACACAAAAATTTGTCTAAATAATGCCATTACAAAATTTCAATTTATAAATATTCATACATACTTTTTACTTCAAATCAGTGTGAAGTGACATTGTTAAGATATCATCCAGCAACAAAGTTGTGTTCTGCTATACATCCTTGGGAAGTTATCATCAAATGAAATTGATCAACCCAGAGCTGAAAGCTATGCCATGAGCACACCTTAATTTACAACTAACCCACAAATTGGAGAATGAACTAGAAGACATTTAGGTCCCTCATAGACTAATATCAAATCTAGGAGGGCTGAAATGTGGTCTAGTTTCATCTCCAATTTCTGGGTTATCTTTAAATTGTCCCAACACCAGGACTGTGACTTTTATTCTTCTCAGTGTAGCTTAATAACTACAGAATATGTTATGCATAGTAAATACAGCACAGTAAAATTTAATTTAATAGAATAATGGGGAACAGGTGATCAGTAATGATTATGGTGGATAGAGAAGATTGTTTTGCTCTAATTATAAAATAATTCACAATTCTGTAGCCAATGGAAAAGTCCATTATTTCTGAGTCAACAGACAGCCAACTTTACCCTGCATTTCCAAAATCCATTAAACAAAGGGTTTACTGTATTGAACTAATATTCTAATTTAAAATAAATCAAGTGATGATACGGTAAGATATTTATGATTATATTCTGCATTCATATTTCATTCTTATTAGTTAAAACATTAAATGCCTTACCTAGCACCTTTGCCTTTATTGTTTTCCATGTCTTGTGAGAAGCGTTTGTGTTGAGGTGAAGAATGAAAACAATGTTGATGGTGAAGGAGCTGAACACTGGTCCAGTGACGGTAACTGATGGAAACTACTGCTTGTTCTTGAACTTCTACGGTTCCTGAACAGGTGAAAGACCACATTTATCATTCCAGGTGGTGGAAATTACAATCACAAGTGCATTTCCAGGAGTACATTTACATAATGTACAAATGAGTTCCAAATGCCTAATGTTTCAGTTTATTAAAATTAATAAAATATAATTTAAACTTCAACTTATAAGCCAAGAACACAAAGTTGATTACTGGCTAATATACATTCAGACAGGAATGTTTTTTACAAAGATAAATCAAGATAGTCATGAAGTGTTAGTAGTGAACCCAGGTTCACCATTTTTACCCAGTGCAAAATACAAGTTAATTTTCTGTCAAAGCTAAATTAGCAAATACATTATTACTAAGCAAGTACATTCTAACCTTACACTGCACAGCTGCACCTCATTTATCCACACTCATTATAGCCTAAAACTATAGTTTACGAAAGGATTTCATTAGCACCCATCAGATGCCAGTTAACCATAAAACCTCCATTTATACATACAAGCGGCACTTAATTTTTGTTTCGGAAGCGACTGAGTGAAACAAGTGAGAGAAGTGGAGAGTCATATGTCAGCCTTGATATTTTTTTACCTATAATTTAAAAAATTACAAAGTAATATCCAATCATAAACTTAATTCTACACCTCTTGAGCATGCTGGGACTATGTTAAGGAAGGCAGAGGTATAAAGTTCAAAACAAGCTGCAGAAACTGTTGGAAAATGAAGTGGCTACATAGATATTTATTTAGGCTTACTTTTACAAATTTATGGAAATAGGAAGGTGGGTGCAGGAAGAGGAGCAATTGGTGGAATGATGAGGTAAAGAGGGTGGCAAGGGAGAAAAAGTTGGAATGTGAAAACTGTTTACACTGTAGAAGTGATATATAGAGGAGCATATAGAGAGTTAAAGAAGTTGAAAGAAAAGGGGTGAGGGAGTGCAAAATGAGAGCTGAGAGGAAAATGTTTTGGAGCGTGATTAATAGGTTGAGAAAGCCCAACGACATCTTAGACGTCCCTCCAAACTGCCAATATCCCAAACCCCTCCTTTAAAGTGGAGGCATTCTACTTCCCATCTCCAGAACTCAAGTCCGGCCTCCCAGTTTCCCTGAATCCCTTCACAAAATATTACCCTGCTCACACTCCAACAGCTCGTCAGGTCCCAAAAACAATTTGTCTCCATTCACTCGGATCAAACACGCTCATGCACACTTGCTCAAGTCCAAGCCCCTCACCCACATAACCTCCTTTACCTCCTCCCTCCAACCTTTTCAAGGACAACCCCTACCCTGCTTTCCTTTCCCTACAGATTTGTACTATCTCCAGGTCATTCTACTTTGTTTCATTCTCTCTAAATGACCACCTCAACAACCCTCCTTCAGCCCTCTAATATTTTAGTAACTCCACACCTCCTCCTAATTTCCACACTACGAATTCTCTGTATAATATTTACACCACATATTGCCCTTAGACACATCTCCACTGCCTCCAGCTTCCTCCTCACTTCAGCATTTACAACCCATGCTTCATACCCATGTAAGTGCTGGTACCACTATACTCTCGTACATTCCCTTCTTTGCCTCCATGATAACATTTTTTGTTTCTACAGATACCTCAATGCACTACTTACCTTTCTTCCTTCATCAATTCTATGGCTAACCTCATCCTTCAGAAATCCATCTGCTGACAAGTCAACTCCCAAACATCTGAAAACATCCACTTCTTCCATACCCCCTCCCTGCAATGTGATATCCAGTTTTTCTTTATCTAAATCATTTGATACCCTCACCACTTTACTCTTATCTACGCCCACTTTCAACTTTTTACCCTTATACGCTCTCCCAAACTTGTCCAATAACCTTTGCAATTTTTCTTTAGAATCTCCCAAAAGCACAGTATCATCAGCAGAAAGTAACTGTATAAAATCTCGTATTGTATTTGATTTCCCGTAATTTAACCCTTTGTCTGTCGCAACCCCAAATCCTGAAGTGTTTCTGTGTCGCAAAATACTTGAAAAAAAAAAAAAAATTTTTTTTTTTTTACCAAAATGTTAAGATTAATTTGCTGATTGTTTTAAGACAAAAAAAAAATTTGGTGATCAGTACTTAGATATAGAGGCGTAAAGTTGGCAGAAAATGAGCTGTGTATGGCAACAGCGGTGAATGCCGCTCATCTGGTAAAATTATTTTTACACCCATTTGAAGGTTTCTTGTATTTTCCAATATTTTATTTTTTTATTTCAAGTAAGTAGACCATCGTTTAACACTGTTTAGTTTTGCACGTCTTGGTTACAGCATGATTTAACCCTTTGACTGTCGTGGCCGTATATATACGTCTTACGAGGTACCGTGTTTGACGTATATATACTCATAAATTCTAGCAGCTTCAAATCAAGCAGGAGAAAACTGGTAGGCCCACATGTGAGAGAATGGGTCTGTGTGGTCAGTGTGCACCATACAAAAAAAATCCTGGAGCACGCAGTGCATAATGAGAAAAAAAAAACTCCGACAGTTTTTTTTAATTAAAATGCCGACTTTGTGGTCTATTTTCGTATAGTATTTATGGTTGTATTCTCGTTTTCTTGGTCTCATTTGATAGAATGGAAAACATATTATAGAAATAGAGGTGATTTTGATTGATTTTACTATAAAAAGAATCTAGAAATGGAGCTCAAATTAGGGGAAATGTTTGATTTTTGCCAATGTTCAAAAGTAAACAAATGATGCCATTGTCCAATAAATGTCCAACTAGCCATTCTAATATGCAGTCATGAATGGGTTGATGTTATTTATACAATTATTACAGTATTGCAGTAGTCTGCATAATAGTAAGTCTTCTATTTTTTGTTTGAATAAACATTCAAAATAGAAAGCAAGAGTAATATCAGAGGGGCCTGGAGACATGACTGAAGAACAAAGAAAATATTATTTTAGAGCCAGGAATGTCTGCGTTGTTCATTCTGGACCTTATTTTGAAATTGTCATATTTTTTAGTTATTGTGAAATTGGCCAAATTGCAAATTTCTGACCACATTATTAGGTAGTTGAAATCGGTAAATGGGCAGTTTCTTGTACTCAATCGATAGAAAAGATGGAGTTCTAAAGAAATAGCTATGAGTTTGGGCGACTGGAACAATGGAATTAGCCAAAAATAGGGCTTAAAGTGGGCGAAATCGCCGATTTCTAAACAGCGCCGAGGTCGCTAACTTCGTGAGAGCATAATTCCGTCAGTTTTCCATCAAATTTCGTTTTTTTTGGTGTCATTACAATCGGGTAGAGATTATCTATCATTTCATAAGAAAAAATAATTTTTTTTTTTTTTAAATTTTGGGACATCAGGAGACACCTCAGGGTTGGGGGTTGCGACAGTCAAAGAGTTAAGAAATGCGGCATATTTTTGTTTAACACTTCGTAAAATTAGTTTAACATGGTTGTGGGAGGGGAAAAAAATTCTGAGTGCGCAGTCGCCCGCCGAGCGGAATGGTCTGTGGGTTACACCATTGAGTCAATGACGACACTCAGGAAGTTCGCTGTGTTTATTTATATACATACTTTCTTATTTTCATTGTCATTTGTTAAATCTGCCAAGCAATCATGGCACCCAGTAAGCATACAAGTGACAAGACGAAGTTTAACCCTTTGACTGTTTCCGACGTATAAATACGTCTTACGAGCCAATGTTTCTGACGTATTTATACGCATAAATTCTAGCAGCTTCAAATCAAGCAGGAGAAAGCTGGTAGGCCCACATGTGAGAGAATGGGTCTCCATGGTCAGTGTGCACCATATAAAAAAAATCAGGGAGCCAGTGGTGCATTGTGGGAATGCCATTTCAGTTGTCCTTTTTCAGCATGTCTAGCGTTAAGAAATATGTGATTCCCCAGCAAATCTGGGACTCTTCTCTTCCCAAGTGATGCTCTAAACACAGATGGAAGTGTCAGTGAAGAACAATTTCATGATTTGGAGGAGTTTGAGACCAAAAGCAATGGAGGGGAGGGGAGGAGGGAGGAAGAGGAGGAGAGGAGGGGAGGAGGAGGAGAGGAGAAGAGGAGGAGGAGGAGAGGGAAGGAAGAGGAGGAGGAGGAGGGAAGGAAGAGGAGGAGAGGAGGAAGGAAAGGGAGGAGGAGGAGGAGGAGGAGAGAGGAGGAGAAAGAGGAGGAGGAGGAGAGGAAGAAGAAGATGTAATAATATTGTTCCCTTGAAGCAAGAAAAAAAAAAGTCCACCCCATGACAGTGACAAGATAAGGGGAGATAACATCTGATAAGAGCTGACTTTGATGAGCGTAAAGGAGGGTAATATTACATGACCATCGCCCTCCCTTTGTTTTTGCTGGTACACAAACATTTGTCTGTCTGTCTATTTGTCTGTCTGTCAAGCTCCCTGTCTGTCCATCTAGCTCTCTGTCTCAGAGAGAGCCACAAGACTGTGTCATCACGTTTACTCACATCTTCAAGCAGAGTATAGCACTTTGTCTGGATTTCTTGGGTTATCCTAGGTAATTTACACTATGTATACTTGTATTTATGTGTACCTGTGAGACAGAGATAGGCAGACAGATAGAGAGACAGATTGAAAGATATAGAATGAGGGAGAAGATAATTAATAGAATGGAGGAGGGGAAGCAGCATCCGACCCCATTGTTTTGACAGGCGGTAGGGGTAGTGACTAATGAGACAATATGTCACTTTGACAGCTGCCGACTTCTGACTTAAAAACAATTATAAGCCACACACTCGCACAGGAGGAGGAGGATTAGGAAGGAGAGAGGAGGAGGAGAGGAGGATGATGAGGATGATGATGAGGATGATGATTAGGATGATATGGGATATGATGATGATGAGAGATGATTGATGAGATATGATGATGATGAGGATGATGTGAGGATGATGATGATGATGATGATGAGATGATGAGGATGATGATGAGGATGATGATGATGATGATGATGAGATATGATGATGAGGATGATGGGTGATGAGGATGATAAGATGAGGATGATGATGATGAGAGATGATGATGATGATGA